GTTTTATATGCTCAGTTACAGAGCTGTGCTGTCTTGTAGAGTAGCTACTAACTAGTGGCTATTTAAATTTCTGTCTTATTTTATTAAAATTACATGAATGCAAAACCCACTTCTTTAGTCATTCCAGGTACTTCAAGTGTTCAGAGTCTTCGGTGGCTAGTGGGTAGGACCATGCAGATAATAGAACATTTGTGTCATCAGAGATAGTTCTCTTGGACAGTAATGTTACAGAATGTCATCCTTAGAGAAAGAAGACTTTAGGAAAAGTAAGAAACATCTTGAGGCAGATGTGCTATTATCTGTCCAACATTAAAGATAGTTTAGTGCTAACAAAGATTTGATCAAAGGAGAAATTGAGGGATTGCTCTTAGCTTCAGAGGGACCAACCCAGGAAAGGGCACATTCATTCTCATAGCCTTTGTGTTGCACTTAGATCTTAAGCTCTTTAAGAGATTGGAATAAATTGATACATGGAGTATCTAAACCACTGAAGAGGGTCTGAATCAGATGAAAATACAGCACAGACTCAAAAACTGATTGGTTGCTAGGCATGGTGGCAAACACCTATAATCCCAGAGACTCAGGAAGTTGAAGAAAGAGGATCCAAAATTCAAAGCAACTTAGGCCTCAAGCAACTTAGTAAGACCCTATCTCAAAAATTAAAAGGATTGGGAATACAGCTCAAGTAGAAAAGCATCCCTGGGTTCAATCCACACTGCCAAAAAATATCAGTTGCAGACTAAATCTTGCTTGTAACTTATTTAACTTATAAATGATACTAGTTATTTGTACATAAGTTATTTTTTCTTTCACTTTACATAGCATGCTTTAGTTTATATGCTTAAAGAGGAATTAAAATACTTCTGAAAGTTTTTAGATAAGTTCACAGAGCAACATAAAAACTACCAAAAAAGTTAAAATATCTTTTATTTATTCACTAATCCATTGAAATTGAAAATAGAAATTCCAAGGGTCTATGATGGTATTCAAGAAAGTAAAAATGTCACAAAACAAAATTCATTTGCCATAAAATTTGTGGAGGTGGCTATTTCACCAAATCCTTACTCTACAAATTCTAATTAAAAAGAGAAGAGAGAAATAAACAAAAGAACTATGTGTCAGGATGACCAAATAGTGCAACTGTGAAGAAAATGTCCAACTGATAAGAAAATATCAGCTAACAGAATTAATGAATTAGAAAGCCACTATTTAAAAAGAAAGTCTCTATTTTGAAGCCCCTAATGAAATAATCAACTCAAGAGGTGATCATTAGTGAAAAATAAAACACTTGGGTAAAGGTTGATTAGGAACTGGATATATACATGGCATAAAATTTACCCCGTGCTGCTGGCTCAACTCAGGGATAAATAAGGTAGGACAGAGGCAGTGACCACCATAGATCTGCACCCATCTTGCATCACTCATATTGGGACAACCAGAGATTATGATTGAAATATAATGAAATATCCTTATTTTAAAAATGAAACCTAAATCTAAGCAAGCCTTATAATGGGGCTGAATGCTATGTCCCCTCAAAATTCACATATTGAAATCCTAACCCCCAAGGTGATAGAATTAAAAGGTAAGATCTTTAGGAGATGATTATGTCATGAGCATGCAGTGTAATCCCTTATGATTAGAATTAATGTCCTTCTAGAGACACCAGAAAGCTAACTGGTCCTATCAAGACACAGAAAGAAGGTACCATTCTATGAACCAGTAGGTAGACTCTCACCAGACGCCAAAAATGCCAGCTCACACCTTGACCTTGGATTTCCCTGCCCCTAGACCTGTGCAAAATAAATTTCTGTGGTGCTTAAGCTATCTAGTTTGTGGTATTTTGCTATTGTGACCAAGTGGACCAAGACAGGCCTTTAGAACTAATGTCCAGTTAACAAGAAAAATGGGAGAAGAGTGAAGATTTAAATGACACAATTGAAAGCAATCTGAAAATTACAGAAGAGAAAACATTCTACATGACAACTGACCTGGTTCTTCAACAAATCAATATCCATAAACAGATAAAAATATATGCATACAGTAGTACTTTCTAGGTTAAGAGTCTTGAAATAAATAACCCAATGCAATGTGTCTTCCTTGCTTAGTAAAATCAAAACATCTAAGATGTTTCAGAATATCTGAAGAAATCTGAACATGTGCCATGGAATAAATGACATAAAGAAAACATTTTTATCTCATTTGGGATTATATTATAAATATAAAGGAAAATATTTTTTAAAGATCCACATTGAAGAATTTAGGGGTAATTGTCATTTTCTTTATACTTGAAAATACCTAAGCCATAAAGAATGATGCAAATGTTGCAAAATGTGTACAACCTAGGTCATGGACTCATGGATGTCATTAATTTTGTCTCCCAACTTTTATCGAACCTTGACATTTTCATAACTTAATAATAACTTTTAAAATCCCAAGTAATGCAGGTACATGTTTGAAATATATCTATTTCAAACTTTAAGATATTAAAACATAAGTAATGTAGTTTATCATTTATCAATTTCATTCTTCTGTTCTCCTCCTGAAATTATATTATCAAAGACCAATTATAGTCTTTCATAGACAATTTCTTTGTAAAATTGACTTTTCAATCAAAACCAAAATTTTTTTCAGAAAGAGAATGAAGTCCATTCAGTCAGATTTACCATTCAAAGAATAAATTCTAGTTTTCCATTATTTTTCTGTCCTGTTTATGAATATCCAATAGGAAACCAAAGAGGCCAAATTATTTGGAATCAAGGTGCATCATGGGTAAGTCTAACTCAGTACACCAAGTTACAAAACAAGTGCACTCCCGTTAATTTCTATCATGCAAGACCAATTTTGTTTATAATTTTTAAGAACTTCTAGAACATGTTTCTCCTGAAGCCAACCTTCTGACTATTCACTTTACTTCAGCTCCAAGAAGGTAAACAAAATGAGGAAAAGATTGGCTAAAGTGGGTTACTTGATATTCTGAAAAATGTCTACCATTCCTTCTCCCACATCTACCCCTCTTAGAAGTAATACTTTCAGATTATTTAATAGTTGGTGCTTCTCTGTGAATTTTAGTTAGTCCTTCTGGCCTTCAAAACAACTGTTTGGTTAAATTTTAAGCACATATTAGTATATCCTATCTTCTAAAGTGAACTCCATCTTTAATGTTAAGAAATGTGTTGATCAGAGAAGACCCACTGATGTAAGAGGTTAAATAATCCTTATGATAAAGTGGGCCAAGAAATAACAAAGGACAATATATAATTTGCTTATGCAAATGAACAAATATAGCTTCAAAAACATCCTGATCCACAATAAACATTGGTCAGGCTGTATTTCTCACACTCCTTGAAAGAACTGGCCCAGGAAGGAATAGAACACTGTCATAGCTCTCCCAAGGCTCATTATCCTCCATGATTCCATGGGAATAACTTTGTCAGACAAGAGTGAAAGACCATTTGTCAACCTCTGTCCAGCTCTAGCCAACCTTCACCAATCCCAGGTGAGGAACCAGGGAAAAACATGAACTTCAGATCTGCAGCAGCAGCATCTGCCAAATATCACAATTCTATCACCTATCCCAATACCACTGGCCCTGTTATTCCTAATTGCTTTGGTGTTTTGGTTTTTTTTTTAATCTTTCCCTATTTCTGGAACACTGAGAAAAGAACACTCAAGTAGACAAACATGAAGCATGAACAACCCTAAAGATTAAAAAATAAGAAGAAATAAGAAAATAAAAAGAGGAATTCTGGGAAAGAAGGAGAAAATCTAAATGACAGATAATTATTTAGTTTCACTTTTAAATATATTCATGCTCATATATATACATTTTCAAAAGAAATTTCACTCAAGGAAAAATTCTATAGATGGGGGTCTGGTTGCACTAACAAGGCTCAGATTACTTTTTAAAAACCGTGTTTCCCACAGATAGTTCAGAGACCCTGAAGTTAAGACAGTTATCCTTGAGACGCTGCCAGATTTTGAAGGAAGAAAATCAGAGTTTGGGGGGAGGGGGGTATGTCAAAGTATCCTTCTAACTGCAGGATAGGGAGGACGAGGCAAGAACAGAAAAACTCGCAATTGGAAAATTCAGATAGCAAAAGAAGACTGCAGAGGCTGTAGGAGACAGGAAAGGAAATGAGATGAAAACTGAAAAGAGTAAGAGGTATGAATTGTTGTCATACGCCAAAGGCATATTGGAGAGAAGTCAGGAATTACTTTAAGAAAACCACTCCAAATCTCATTTCAGACCATTTAGAGATGAGCTTTCAGGAGCTGAGAGTCCTGGCTGTATAGCATCAAATTGATCCACCTGATCCCTACCCTAATAATAACCAAGTTGAAGAACCAATGATCTAAAACAAACAAACAAACAGAAAAATAAAAACAAAAAACCTTTGAGGTCCATTTGCCAAATATGTAAAGGTTCAAATCTTCAAATTCTCTCTCTCTCTCTCTCTCTCTCTCTCTCTCTCTGTGTGTGTGTGTGTGTGTGTGTGTATACAATTTCATTAAATTTGACAGTCAAGATTTAGGGGTGAAGAGAATGATTGCAAGCAAAAAGGACCCAGTGCGGGGTGGTGGGGGGACTATGTTTGGAGCCTTGGAAAGAAGTCTGTGAGGGTAGTGAACACGGTTGGAACAATTTAAAACCCAGAGCTGAGGTGAAATGAAAAGAGATGAAGAAGAGAACTTGGAAAAGAAAAATAAGCAGGTGCAGGATGTGGGCAGAGACCATGCCACAGGTTGAGGAGCCTGTGAGGCTCAAAGTAGAGTGAGACCCCTCAGGGTTTTCAGGGTGATGGGTGTCTGGGGCTGTTTCAGGGCGATGATGAGGCTGTGTTCCTGATGTGCCCGAGAGGCGGCAAGGTGGTAGTGTGAGGCTGGAGGGAGAGTGGCCAGGTGGGGGCGGGGCTCACAAAAGGGGAACCGCAGACCCTGGGGAACCCCTGGAGAGAGCACCGCAGTGGTATTGTCAGGCGAGGGGCATCCAAGTCACTCACCCCATTGGCTGCGGCCATCTGCACCACGATCTCTGTGGCCGTCCTGCTGAAGTACCTGCCGTCGCTGCCCACCACCATGGTGCAGCCCTGGCGGTCGCGCAGGTCAATGGATGACAGCACGCTCTGGATGAAGTTGGGTAGGTAGTTGCGCTGGCCCTCGAAGAGGCCAGTGGGTCTCCTCAGTCCCCCGCCGCCGGTAGGCCGCTGGTCCTCGAAGGGCGCCGTGGGCACAGTCAGCACCGGGATGGGGCTCCCCTCCATGGCGCCTCCTGGCCGGTCCTGCTGCGGCTCGGTGAGTCCGCGAGCTGCAGGGAGTCTGCAGCGGGGCCCCCACTAGCCTGGCGGTGAGCCCGGACTCCGCCTCGCGCCCGGCCCCCTCCCCAGCGGGCTCAGCACCGACAGCTCCTCCTCTCTGCCCCTCCCCGAGCTGTCCCAGCAGTTCGACTTCCACCTTGGGACAAAGCTTACTCCTGCCCAACTTCTCTGTAGCCCGATCACTTGAGCTGTCCCGGGTTTCTTTTCCAAGCTGGTCTCACGTTTTGGAGTGTCACAAAAGCTGGGTTCTAGTGCCAGCTGGCTATCCAACCCACCAGGGACGCCTTGTCCCGCGCCTGCCCCTCTGCCTTCCCCGAGATTGCCTCTCTCTGAGGCACAGCCTCCTCAAGATAGCCTGGGGGTGAAAGTTTGAGCAGTGTTTGGGCTTCTCCCACACCCTTGGCCTCTTAACCTTCCTACCCGGCAGCCCTCTCTCCTGGTTTCCCTGCAAAAGGACAGAATACCCTCACAAGTTTCTCTCTGGAACAAGGACTGGGAGGGAGTTGGGAGGGGGCTGAAACCTTTTGCCATCAGCGAACAGCCCTAGCCAAAAATAACCCTGGAAAGGCGAGCTGAGAATTGTTATCTTCTGCCAGCGGTGAAACTGGAGGCTGAGCGCTGCATGTGTGTCTGTGTGTGTATATACACACCCATCTGACCATTTGTTGCAAGGAATCACACACTGTCAGGCCCTTCAATCCAGTAGGACCCGCCCTAGACTTCCACTTTCCCAAGTCTCTCTCAAGACACTATGCAGTATGGAAACTTTTTTTTTTTTCATGTTTGTTTGTTGTGGCAGTTGAAACAGCAGTGATACAGATACATTTTTCATATTCTTCATACCCTTCTCATCATCCCTACTTAGCTCCTGCTTGGAAACAGGCTTGCTCACATTGTATCTCTCCACATTTTTGAACTGTTCACCCTCATTAATTATTTTCAAGAGGAAGAGGCTAAAGCCCTTTTAAATGTCCTAACAGGAATGAATTAACACAGCCAAATTAAATGAGAACTGGGTACCAGGTTCTATACTGGTTCTATGCTAGGTCCATATGCATCCTATATCCAGCAGGGGCTAGAGATATTCTCCCTTCTCACCATAAAACTCACTCACCTAAAATTCAAAACCAAGAAATCTCTATTGAAAATATGAATGAAAAAAGAAAAGGATAAAATCCAAAGAGGGAAGAAACAATTCTTAGTTTTGCTTCTATCTTCTATCACCTCTCAGACTTTTTTACGCTCACCAAAGCTACTGTTCTGAAATCTTCTGAGAATAATGTCCACATCCTGAGAATATCGTTGACTTGTTTGTTGCAGGGTTATAAAATGTTTGACCATAGTAAGATGACTGTGAGTAACAACTCATCGAACATACTTGCAATAAAGGCTTTGCATATGTTTTTTTCTTTGGAGGGTGAAAACAATGAAAAGAAGTAGGTATGGTATCCATGTCCCCCACCAGTTTTTCAAATGAGAAAAAGAGTTGATTTTGAGTTTGTTGTTGTTGTTGTTGTTATTGTTGTTGTTTTTGGTGAGGTCAGTAAAGTAGCCAAGATGGCACTTGTATTGCCAAATTTTTGTATTGTTCTCCTTTTAAATAAAATAATATTGAGGTATTATGGGAAAACTGAATTCATCAACTGAAACCTTCCAGGACTTTTAAGCCATTCTCATAAACAGGAACAAATGGATTACTTGGAGGAAAATGGGTAGTGGGGAGATGTTGATCAAGGGGTACAAAGTTTCAGTTGGGAAGAATCTGGGTTTTTTTTGTTTTGTTTTGTTTTTTGTTTTTGAGATCCATTGCACAGCATGGTGACTACAGTTAACAGTAATATTTTAAAATTGTCAAAAAGGTAATTTCAAATGTTCTCACTGTGAAAATAAAACAGATATTTGAGGTGTTGGATATGTTAGTTTAATCATTCCATATTACATGCATATACCATAACATCACATTGTATGCCATAAATATATTCAATTATAATTTTTCAATTGACGATCTTTTAAAAGCATATTTTAAGGGTTTTTTTTCTCTACTCTGTCCTCTGTCTCCTAGAGTCCATCCCTGTAAAGTTCCTTACTTCATATTTGTGAGTTTGAGAGACCCTTGGCTTAGCACCAAAGAGAACCTCAGAATTTCTAATGATCTCTGCATATCTCTACAGCATAGGGTTTTCTAACATTACCTTCTAATTACATTTCATTTTGCAAAGAATAGTGTCATTCCCAGAAGAAGAATGGATGTGGTAAGTCCTGTGCTCCAGTAACGACAAGAACACTACCTCCAAGTCTCAGAGCTTCCCAGAAACCCCCCAGGACTCCATCTCCCCACTTCTAGCACTTCCCTCTCTCTGGTCATCACCACTGTTCTCTCCTACCACAGCCCAGCTTCTGCCACCATCCTGGAAATAAGGAATGGACACTACAGAACAGACTTTACTATTCTACTATCCAGGAGGTGATCCTCTTCCCTTGGGGCTAATTCCAAAATGCTGAAATTCTGGTCAGCCAGTTTGAAGCAACGTACCCAATCACATAGCGAGGTTGTGATGTAAAAATAAAAACAGTGTCTTTGAAGTAAGGGGGCAGTGTTCCCCCAAGGGAAGGAGAGGTGGGTCAGTACATAGCAATTGCCAAATACATACTTGAAACTCATGGATCAAGTCTTCTACAAATTATTTTATTCCTCTCTGAATGCATATAACACTTGCATCTCTCATAAAGAATGTTTCATAAGCTGACACACACACATGTTCATAAGTGTTTCCTCTCTATTAGTTACATGTGATCTTGAAATAATTCTGTAACCATTTCTAACCTTAATGTCCTTACCATAATGGAAACTATGGTGAGCTCTGCCTCAATTTGGGGGAAGCTTCAAGTACTTAGTACAAACAGAAAGATATTCAATAAATTCTACTTGTTCAAATTTATTGCCATCAAATTTATACTTTTATTATTAGTAATCTCTTATATAGCAAGAATTACTATAGGGGCTGGGGTTGTAGCTCAGTGGGTAGAGCACTCACCTAGCATATGCTATGCCCTGGGTTCGATCCTCAACACCACATAAAAATAAGTAAATAAAATAAAGACATTGTGTCCAACCACACCTAAAAAAATAAATAAATATTTTTAAAGAATTACTGTATATGTTCTTGTAGATCAGGACAGTACTTAAAGGGTCCTTGGACATAGGTGATATTCTACAAAAATTGGTTGAGTTAATCTGGTTTGGGGACTATGAAAACTTAAAATATATGGAGTAAATTCTCCTTGAAATGTACAAAAAGGGTTTGCCAGCTACAAAAAAAATCGCTTCAAAGCTGCCTTCAAATTTCATCAAGCTAATTCCAATTAATTTGTCCCAATGATGGAAAAAGGAAAACTGAGAGGGCTTTCCAGATAAGAAATGTCTCGCCCATAGTTGCTCAGAGGCAAAATGAGAAGTTTGGATTAGATCCATGTTTCCAAGGGGTTTTCTTCAGAACATTAGTGCCTCCTAAATGTTGCACAAAGCAAGTTTCATGGCCAAATAACTTTTTAAATCCTATATATTTCACACATTCCTAGAGCATCACAAGTCACAATGCACATTTCACATTAAAAGTTCTGAGAGGTCTTAGAAAGAAGACATCAGATTAACTTCTTTAAAACTAGTATTTTCCAAACTGAATTTATATTTCGAGTTTGCTGAGGGAAAGAGAGCCAGGCTAGCTTTCTAACCAGAGCCAGTGGCACATTCCTTAACCCTTATCCCCCATGGATGGTGTCAGGGATAAATATGGTCTCAGATTCTCATGCTCATTTGCAGCATGTGTCATAACGAAGAGTAGCCCTGTTGGGCTAACAATGCCTTTCCGCCTTCTCTGAGCTACTAGAGAAAGGGATCACACTGAGAATTCTTGGCATGAAAGAGAGCAACTGACAGTCTTCCTTCCCCTGGGGACTCCCTTGCTCTCAGGATGTCATCAGCCACCAATCTTCATGCGGACAAGATTCTAGCTGGCTCAGCTAGACCAGCATTTCCCAAATGAGAATTTGGGACCAAATAAGGACTAAATACTTCATTTCTATCCCTTCTCACAGGTTTGCAAAGCATGTTAGCATATTGAAGATTCTGTGAAGCTCTGCAGGAAAGAAATCTATTTAGTTTTAGCCAAGCATTTCCAGTTGACCATGGTCCTGTTCCAAAACACCTAAAAACAGATCAATGACATTAACATTCCTTGAAACACTTTAGATCTCTGAGGATCCTTCCAGCTATATCATTCTGTGATTAATCTTTTAATTTTTGAGGCATGAAGAGATTAATTTCTATCAGGATTCTATTTAGAAGCTTATTCAATTGTGCAAAAAGGAACAGGTAAAATTGCCCAATTAAAAATAAAAAAACCCTTGAGTGATTTTGAGACATGAACTAATATATACAAATATACAGATGTACAAATATGTATAAGGATAGAATATAAAATCACATATATAATTATGCATATACATGTAATTTTATATTATATATTCTGTTCTTTTTTACTCCCTGCCTCTGATCTGCTGGCTGGCAGGAAAGCCCATGTCACTTTGGCCCACGGCAAGAGTACATGACTCCTATTGAGTCACAGTCCACTTCTGTGCACAGAGGGAATGCTAAAAACATGCTGTTGACTCATTGACTCAAAGAGCAGAGAAATGCCAAAAGTACAAGACAAGAGGCAGAAAAGCAGGTGGAAAAATGTCACAGGGCAGTCCTCCAAAGAAGCCCTAGGTCCCTTTTTAATCTGCCCAAACACCTGCTGGTGATGGAAAAGTCAAATATATATTTCAAACAACTCCTAAAATACCTTCTACTAAGCCTTCTGTTTCCCAATAAGTGAAACAACATGTGGTAATTCCAATAGAACCGGCTGCTTCTCCAATTCCTTCACTGCAGGGCCACTAAATGCATGTTCAAGTAATACAAAGGTGCAACTGTATGTCTGGTAAATGCTTGTGCACTCGTCTCAGGCTTCAGCTGTTTCCCACGTTCATCAACAACTACCTGTGTAGCCTTGAACAAGCTGGCTACCCTCTCTAACGCTCAGTTTCTGCATCTGTAAAATGTACATCATAAAAGTTGAGCATCATATTTAAAGAGATAGTATGTGAGAATTGCTTGCATAGTACCAGTCACAAAATAAGGGCTTTAAGAAGTGATGAAATTATTATGATTACTGTTACAATTACTAAAATTAAGTACTTCTGTTAACTAGAAACATTACTAAGATATTACTACCAAAATAGTAATTATTAGTATACATATTGTTATTACTAATAACAATGATTCTTTTTCTTCATACCAGAGAATATTGACTTTGAGGGTAGGCATGCAAAATTTCTGTTGAAACTTTTGACACAGTATGTACATGACACATATCACAATTAAGGAACTGGTG